AGAAAAAAAAGTAATTTCAAACTGTAAGTTTAGGTAAGCCATTAAAGAAAACCTGCTCATTCTAACTTATTGGAAGTATGAAGAAGCTTGAACAGCATCTGTTAGGAATGGCATAAGTATAGGGCCAGATGGCATATAAAGACCCTCTCTAGACCTGTTTTTTTTGTGATTTTGCTATGGAGGGGAGCAAAGCCCACATTAAGCAATCTCTAGGAGAGCTTCAAGAGCACCTGAGAAGTCTGTAATCTATCTTCCAGTTTCTCTTGTTCTTCTCTTTGAGGAAGGAATGTTAATTAAAATATATTAAGGAAATTGGACAGCAATTTTAAGCCTTTACAACAGCCAGCCTTAGGCAGTCCACTTTAAAACAACATCTCACATTTTATGTTATGCTTTGCATGTTTCACAGAGTAAACTGATTTTCCAACTATGCTCCCATTTCAGAATGTATCTTATTTACTCTTATAATAACTAGTTGAAAGTGTCTGATTACCAGTCACATGTCTAGTAGTTTTACAATAGGGAAGCAGGACACCCTCTTTAGGCAATCTGACATGAAAATTTGGGAGCTATACAGAAGTAAATACCATACCTCATTTCAAGCATGCAAAAAGGCTCACAGAAATTGCTTCTGCCAAACCATGTACAGCAAACTACCCCTCTGCTCTCCACTAGTCTCCATCAGTTGGGCTGCTGCTGGGAAGAAACTTCCTCTGATGTGAATCACCACAGTGTCACTTACATGGACTGGGGTTCGGACATGAATGATGCCCAGGAACTTTTCCCCAGAATGCCTAAAAAATTTTGGTCTATACACATGTTAGGTTTTGCACTTGGAATGATAAAAAACAGTATCAGTCTGCTGGGATCTGAACATCCAGTTGCCAAGTAGCAGACAGTGGAAGTCATGTCCAGATCCCTAAAGATGATGCTGAAAGGAAGCAAGCTTTGTTGCTACAAGGTTAATGAAGTGTCTCCAGAATTAAAAAAAAGTAAAAATATGCAGAAGAGAGATATTACTTCCTTTTATCTTTCTTCTCTTTTATCCTTCCCACCCTATCTTCCCCCAGAAATATTCCAATGTGCAAAAAATATCCCTTATTTTTACAGCTCATGAACAGAGATTCAACATTAAGAGCACATCTTGTCAAGAAGAGAGGAAAGCACTTTCTGAAAGGGAAAATTTCTAGAAAAACATGATAGAGAAAACAACTTTTCCACCCCTACTCTGCTCCTTTCCCCTGCAAAAAAAATAATCACAAGGTATAAAGAAGTAGCCACTGCAAACAATAATAAAACATTCACTCTTTTCTCCACCCACACCCTCAAAAAACATAAAACATGTCTTCCTGTTTGCTCTCCTTGTACAGGCAGAGATACTGATGCAATCTCTCCTCTCTGAAAAAGGAAACGCCTCTATCTCAGTCTGCATCTTTATCCCCATGAGCAGCTTGACTAAGCAGATTAAAAGAAAAGGCAAGCGCACACTGAAGCAACACTAAAACCGAAACAAAAAAACAGCAACTGTCAGTTCAGTTGGAAGGGGAAGCAGAGTCTGCTGCAAACGTTTAGAAATTAAAATAGAATCATAGAATAGTTAGTGTTGGAAAGGACCTTAAGATCATCAAGTTCCAAACCCCCTGCCATAGGCAGGGGCACCTCCCACTAAACCATATCACCCAAGGCTTCATCCAGCCTGGCCTTGAACACCAGGGATGGAGCATTCACAACCTCCCTGGCAACCCATTCCAGTGCCTCACCACCCTAACAGGAAAGAATTTCCTCCTTATATCCAATCTAAACTTCCCCTGTTTAAGCTTTAACCCATGACCCCTTGTCCTATCACTATAATACCTAATGAAGAGTCCCTCCCCAGCATCCCTGTAGGCCCCCTTCAGATACTGGAAGGCTGCTATGAGGTCTCCACGCTGAAAAGAAAGCAAAACCACCAAGTACATAGTAGGTAGGTAGATAACTGCCAGCACCTACAAGGATACAAAGGATCCAGCACCATCCCCAACCTGTCATCTTTCTCCCTGGACTCTGTGGAAAGACTGAGAGTTGATGTCTTCTCCACAGCACCCTCTCACTCCTGCCTTCCCTTTCCCCTTGCCTTCTTCATACCCAAAACCAGACAGCTGCTGGCTTCTTCCATCACACCTACGGACAAGGTGAATCTGAAACAGGACAACTGCCAGCCCTTGACAACACAATAAATAAAAGCAGGAACCTGTCATTTGTATTTGGGGATCAAAGCAAATAGTCACCCAATTAAAACACTCTACAAACAAAAGCAAGCAAGAAAGGAAAAGAACAATGGTGTGATCATACGGAGAAAGTGGACTTGTAAATGAGGAAGAGCTGATACTGTTTTCACAGGTAACATTTCAAAACTTGTATAAATTACTATTCCCATCTGTTGCTACACAGAATTCAGCAAGTCACTAATAAGAAAAAGCACAACTTTTCTTGACGCTTCTCTTACTAGCCAGCCTCCCTGATCACCCAGGAAATGACTGCAAAATAACCAATCAGATACTGAACAAAAGGATAAAAATGTTTTGTTGTTTATCATGGTTATTTATCACAAAAGCAAAATAAGTATATAGGACTTAGAAAAGAGATGACATTGTGGAAAAACCATAAAAGAGAAGAGCACTGCATTATTGTGAGGAGTTCTTGTAAAAAGAAGACAAAACAATGCTCCAAAATTTAGGTCCTCTTGGCTTGCTTCCTCTAGAGCAGATATGGGGACCAAGCAGTCACATCAACAGGGAAATAAATGAGTAGGAATAGCTCCTGTTACAAATGCACTCAGCACATGCTGAAAAATGATGGAAAAGAACTGCTCAACTAATAGGGTATATAATAAATTCACTTATCATGCAAATACTCCCCATCGTTTGCCACACACAATTGCTAAACTTAACTATGTCCTCAAACAAGGCTCTCTAGGAAAATTACAATAGTTCCCTGCAGTCTACAAACCTAAACACAGTAGCCAGCTAAAGGCCACAGCAACCAGTTCAAAAATGATCACCAGTCTGTGCAACAGCTTTAGCAGACTAAATTTTTCGGAGGTGCTGAATGAATACTCACAGGTTGCTGAAGTAACTTAAATATCACAGGCCACATTTGAAAATATACCTTATCTATGAGCATTGGCTAAAGAATTTAACTGACTTGTAGGGACACAGAGAAAAAGCCACGGTAAGGACTTTGGCTTCGTAAAGGCTATTTTTAGCCTTGTAATTTAGAAGTGCTTTGTAAGTAGAAAGAAGTCAGACTTAAGATAGCAGTAAACCAGACTAATGAGGGAAGTTTACACTGGTATCAACTGGACAAGCTGCTACATTGAGCTCCCAACAGTGCAACATTTCAGTGATATGATCTGATCATCCTTTCCTTTTGTGCACAAGCCACCATTGCCTAAAAATCTTTTATACCAGGGACTGCAATAGTGTGCTTCCAGCAGCATGTGTTAATAGTCATCTTTGTTCAATCCACCAGAGGAATCCACTTGCAGCCTGCCTAATGCAGAACACATCTTTCATATGACATGAAACAATTCAGGACCTGTGAGAATTTCATCCATGACACAAGGCAGATTGTGACAGAAATTCAGTTATTACCTTGCTCTGCAATGTCTAAATATTTATTTTTTTTTGCATGGAACCTTTCAAGTCTGAGGCTACAAAGCATGCTGGAAGTTCCTGAGCACACATTATTAAATTTCCAGGAACCCAGTGCAATAGCTTTACAACTAATTTTATAGCAATACAACTGCACTGCAAGCCACCCTCACAGGTACCGTAAACAATGGAAGCGTTTCACAGGGGAACAGGAGGTGAGAAGTACTGCTAAACTTGTGGGGCAAGCTTTAAGGCTTTTATAAGCCTTTCAGTATCTCATGACTTCTCAAAATCTTGGGAAACTGAAAATCTCAGCTTGCTTTTGAAGCCAGGCAGTAACTGCAGAAACACTCAGCACAAACTAGTTCTGCCAACAAACGAAGCAGTCCTGCCTTCTCATCCCTCCCTCCCTTTCTGAGGGTGCAATCACATACAGGAGCAGATCCATTTTAGCTTTTAGCCATGCCTGCATTTGTGCCCCAATCCAGTTTACCTGGATCTGCACAAACATTTGCTCAGCACAAAGGGAGACAGACCCTATAAATCACAGCCGTTTCTTTCAGCAACTGTAGTGGTTTTAAAATGATTCATGAAATCACGACCTATATTCACAGATAGAGAAGAGTTTTGAGAACTCTCCATTTCACCCTAAATGCAAATACCACTTGGAGACAATTAGTTCTTTCCCTCCTCAATCTTACTGAGGTGTAACTCCAGATACTTCAGCACAAGGTTTAACATACTGATAAATTCACTGGTTCCAGGTGCTTCTTTGTACTAACAAACTATTGTTTTGTTAGTACAAACAATACTAACTGGGGCAAAGAGCTTGGTCCAAAGCAGGCTACAGAGGATTTGCTCTCAGCTTCACCATGAATTTGATTCAAGCAGAAGAGAACTGAACTGAAAAATGCCTGGGTTACACAAGCATAATAAACCCCCATCTTCATACTCAGCAAGTAGCACATGTCAGTCCACATTTACCTTGCATCAACATTGGTCAGGCACTTCAGAACTTCTGCGTAAATATGAAATGCTGCGGCTCTCTGCCAAACCAAACTTGCACACAAATGCATTTTAAAGTTTTGAGAGCTCTGTAATAATTTTACAACTGACACTGATGTATGCAGCTCTTTGTCCCAGGTACCAGTTACCTATGTACACTGGTTGTGAGCATGATATTGTCTTCAAGACATCCACCATTCCACTAACTCAATAGCCAAGACCTATACTTCTGGATTCTGATGCAGAAAGGACATTTGAAGCATCAGCACCCTCTCACCAGTATGGAAATCACGTGTGATAACTTATTTACTGTATAATATAGACAACAAGGAGAAAGCTGCATAGCGAGGCATTTTCACTTACGTGGTTTATATAGAGACTCTTGCGTTTTTCTCTCACTGCAAAAACACAAAATATGATAGAAATATTACATGACTATTTTTCCTGATTAAGTTTCTTATATACCATTTATAATAAAAAGAACAGGAGGCTATCTATGTGCAACATTATAACTGCTTTTACACTAACCAAATATATTTACATATCAAACACAGAAAGAACATGTATCTGCACGCATAAAGACATTTACGTTCACTAGTGTGGTGACGGATTAAAATTCTCATCCATTTGGGTACTTCACCAAGCGTTGGTCCGCATGGGAAAGTTAATATGCGGTAAGATACAGTCCCAAGTTAGCAATGGATTAGGCATCCTTCACCAGCTCTCTGTGTATGTACTTCTGAGCCACTAGTGTCTTCGTGCAAGGTACCTTGCTGCAAAGTGGCCTACACTACAGGCATGAAAGCAGCTAAACAGCTACACCACGGAGTTAGCGAATTCTCATCATAGCTTACTGTGCACTAACTCCCATAGAGGAGCCTTGAAACCATTCGCATTACACCACTGCCTTCCATAATTATCAAGTGCAAGCCTGAAACTATTACTGATGTTACATATAACCATGAAAATATATTACTTTGGCGAGTATGAACCAGTCACCACAAGCAAGGGTTGCAAGTCAAAGCCACAATTAGCCAAAATATTCAGAAAGTAAACAGGAACAAAAGGGAGATAGACATAGAAACTCTTAATTGTCAGGCAAATGCTTATTACAGCTGATTAAATATACTCTATTTAATTTTTTTAAAGCACTTTCCCATTAACTCACCCCATAGAGAGCCTGTGGAGCTCTGTTCCAGTGAAAATACCACAGTATTTAAGATACAAGTCTGAAGGCAACTAACACAAATCAAACTTCAGGATTTAAATGGTTTCATGCTGTAGGCGATTAAATGCACTTTGGCATACCATGATTTGAAAGCTGTGCAACCCAATACACTTAGCAAAATAAGAGCGCTCATAATGGTGGGATAGCCTGTCCATTCCCTGTTGGATGAGAAGCAGTTATTCATGATTTACTATAAGCAAGCGATCTCACATAAACAAGGCTGTATGTGTGAATACTGCAAAATAACTGTGTTTAATGCAGACATAAAATGAAAAGAAAATATGAAAAAACTTTTAAAAATCCTTACATAATTTTCCTCCCAGGGAGCAGAAAGGAGAATCACACATGACAGATGTTAGCCATGTCACTTAGTACATGCTCAGATCCACAATTACGGACATTATATAAGAAACAGAATTAAACAGGAACAGCAGGAAAATTCTGATTGCCTAGTAAAAGTTAAACCACCTTAAGTCCTGCTAAAACATTACACTACACTTTAGTTCCCCTTACAGCATTTATTACCAGAAAAGGACTGAAGTAATTGAAAAGGAAACACCAAAATGATGGTAGATATTAATTTCTAAGAATAGCCAAAGTATTTGTCTAGTATTGCATGTTGCAATATACAGGTAGTAAACAATTCTGATAAACTGTGTGTAAACCTCATAAGAGTACATAACTGAAAATTAATACCTATTAACCGTGAAATTTTGAACACAGTTAAGTATTTAACAGTGTTTTAATCACAATTATACCACATGCAAAGTTCTAATGGACAAAATCCTATAAAGACAGGCTACACATACACTCCAAATTCCATTTTAATCACTTTTTTTCCCTACCTTACTTTTTCTTTACTGTATTTTCCCTTGTATCCATTACTCAATTCCCCATGAAATCATGTATTTACAAAAGAACATCACTCACAGCTCATTCCCATCTGCTATTTCCAATCTCCAGAAGCCTATAGTAATGTATTTATACACACCCCTCACTTCTCCCTGCTCAAGCACTGCTTCTGCTGCACATTATTCCAAGCAACATGTTGACCTCCTTTCCCTTATTTTCCCCATACAACAGAAATTCAGCCTGGATTCTCAGGTAGGGCAGTACAAGGCGGCAGCTGTGCTTTTGCACTTCTGGCCCACTCTGCCATAGTGTAAGGCTCAACTCTTTCCACAACACAGGCCAATCGGAAATTGGGCATAGCAAAAAAAAACAATTTTGTCACAGCCACTCTCCCTTGTGACTCAACCCGCCCTTTAAACAAGGGAAATAATTGTCTTTAAACAAGGGAAAGACAATTATTGCACAAGGCAAAAGGCCAGTTTTGCCAAGCTAAAATGAATGCAAAGGGGTAATTCCATTGGCTTCAGTCAGTTTAAAAATACTCTGCACAGCTCACACAGCACAGTGTGGACTTCAGCAGACAGGACTGTAGTGTTATAACTAACCATCATTTTGTAATATAACTTCCTAACTGCAACTTCAAGCTTTTGGCTTTCAAGCACAGGGTTTTGAGAAAATGAAGCTAGACAGATTTAGAGTCAGTTTAAACAATTGAACTTCTACTTTCTTACTAACATTTTAAAACTTGAAAGTTTTGGAATGCTTCAAGTGGAGACCGAGATGCTGCCAAATTGTCTTAGTTTTCCTCATTTAAAGGTCAACGACCTGTTCCTATTCTGCAGGCACTTTCAACTGTTACTAGTGAACTTCTGCAGTAGTAGGAAGATGTATTGAAATAAAAATGAGTGCGAAAATACACACACATACGTATGTGTGTGCGTGTATTTATGTATATACGTGTTCTCCATTGAGCTGTAATAGGAACTCTGTGCAATTTCTATATACCACCTTAATGCTACCTGTACCAGAATCAAAGACCAAAACCCTTGAGGATTACATCAATCAAAATGTCTCACATTTTGGGAGTTTCAAAACATTTCTTTTCGTTTTATTCAAGACAGAAGACTGTTCCCAGTCAACATGAAAGAGTAAGTGCAGGTTAATTCACTTCTATCCACTATATAAATACAGTTTCAAAATCCTCCTTGCCTGAAACCCATTGTTACACCAATACTGAAAAATTCAGCCAGTAAACTGTGTGTGTAAAGCCTAATGTAAATTAGGAGAGGTGGACGGCTGTAACCCACTTTCAAGAAAGACCATTATCAGCACCCTGAAGTAGCAACCATTGCCTTCTTGCTATTAAAAGGACAGGATGTTACATTATTAGAGTGCTAAGTTTTGTAAACCCCGGGTTAACCACAAGCACACATTAAATAAATAGTCCACAGCTTTTCAGTACCCTAGACCATCCCCACTTACAGGCCAGTCAGCAAACAAGGGAAAACTTGCATAAAGCACTCACAGAAGTGAGTGACAGAAGACAAAAAAAAAGGGGAAATTCTTTACTAGCTCCCTGAACCTGGGGAATTACTCATGATGATTCAGCACCTAGAAAATTCCCACAGAGTTGGAAGCATTTAGAAAAGTTACTTTAGTTAGGAGTCAAATTAGTATTTATTGTGTCTTCAACTTTTCTACAGATTCATCGAACTCTCAGGTAATTAAGGGTGCAGACTAGTGAGAAAAACAGGACAAATTAAGATGCTTAGACTTGCATTCGAGCTTCAAAGCACAATAGGAAATTCAGACCATTCAATATCCAGAGAAGCCTATCCCATCTCATTGTATCTGGGGTAGTCTGCTTGCTCTTCACCCACATGTTGATTACAAGCAGCTCAAGCACAGCTCCTATTCCAGGACACTACTGTGTCCAGTGATTACCAGTGAGGCTGTGAGAGTACAGGGCTACTAGAAAGCCATACACACAATTGCCTGAAGGTAATGTTGCCAAGTCGCCCCAGCATGTAGCAACAGACTTGGCCGTTTCCCAGTTTAAAAACATGAGATAGACACTCAAGAGTCACAGCCAGATCCTGGATAAAACCTTGAGACCCGATGCCCCTCAACTATCCATTGTGTATTTCAATTGTCTGCTGGTCTTATCTATAGAAATATTTTCACTCACAGTCAACAGGAAGGTTTGCTATACAAGATGGAGAGTGGTAGTTACATGCCTACAAGGTGTTCTCAATATTGCCAGCTCAGCTCTTCTCTTCTATATTGTCTTAAGAAGTTGTGGGGGTCCCTTAGACTCCATCTGGCTGTCAGAGTACAACCCTACACATCCTAAACAACCCTTATATTTTCCCCTTAACAAGCACGTTATTACATTTTGATGTCAGGCAACCTCCATGAATAATGTGGTAACTCCAACAGCTCACTTGGCTCCATAAGGGGCCCAAAGTACAGCTAAGTAAAATATCTGCTACTGTGAGTTGTCCCAGCAGAATGGGATGTTTTACTGGCAATACATCAGTAGAGAAACGTTTACAGAATCTTTTTTCTTTCGTACAGGCAAAATAGTCTTTGGATTTTTTCCACTGTTATCAAAGATAGCTGAACAGATCTTACACTCCCGTTGATAATATTTCCATACTGTTTCCCTAAATTCACTCTCTTGCTCAAAAATGAGTTGTTCTTTGTTCTTAAGCTAGAACAAAGCTTCACAGACCAGCTTTTGCACGGCTGTAAACTGTCATTTTAAAAAACGCTTATGGTGAACCCCATACTGAAATAAATTAACCATTATTATTACTACAAGTGAGAATAACCATCAGGTGTGGTCAAAATTTTAATTATTGGACTTGGGATTTCTTTTTGTCCTTCTTTTCAACAAGCTGTAACAAGAAACAGCATCCATATGGGATTATACAGTCTCAAAACACTATATAGACATCAAAGTTCATAATACAGTGTACTACGGAAAAAATATCATTAATTTACAGACTACCAAACCATGTTAAAATGGTATATAATGCAAAAAACCCACTTTATAAGGCATTGACAGAACCAGGGCTGAATTCAGAAGTACAACTGAAGGTCAACAGAGGTACTCACAGAATTAACTCTTCAACCAGGACCTAAATGTATATCCTCTTTGTTCTAGTCTTGTGCAAAAATTAGCAAGAAATATACAGTAAGTGAAAACTACAGTATTTGTAAGTCATATATTTGACACTGGAATTTACTATGTAAATCAAAATGGCATTTATAGGCAGCAAAAGAAGGACAAAGAATTCACACTGAACAATCAGAATTACAATGTAGGAATTGCTTTGAAAGTCTTGGTAGAAAATAATGTGTTTTGCATTGATTATTCATCTACTTCTAAAACAACATGTCATACATGTTCAACAGGGAATCAATAAACCAGAATAAATGGCTTCTATTCTACTAACTCTATCAAGAGGCTTGCTTAGCAGATATAACCCCAGAGAGATCATTTTGTCTACAAGTGAAAAAAAATCTCCAGGCAAATATATGATTATATCGAATCCATAATGAAAGAAGAAGACAGAAAGTTTGGGTGGAATGTTGTTCTGTTATTAAAATCTAGTACTGAGCTCATGATATTTACAGTATCAGCTACCTCGGAGGAAACTCTGGACTGTCTTCTTAGTCAATGTAAACTGGCATTTTCTGAAGAAAATACTTCCCACACATTTCCCATAAGCTTGTCCTAATGTTTGGAGTTTTCAAAAACAAAAGAGTTACACAGGAAATTTTGGTTTCAGATTCAAGGAAAACATTTTTAAAATATAGTTATATATAGGCTTTATCCATATCTGTAGTTCTGATACCATACCTACTTGGAACTTACAATTTCAGCGCATGACAGAACTCAAACCTGCACCTTCTACTACTGGTCTGACAAAATAAATAATTAGAGATTCTTTAAACTCTTAACATGATGCATAAAAGCCTCTTTGTTTGGGAAGAGAATTATATATTAAAAGACAATCCCATGCATTTTAACAAAGGGGTTAGAGAGAACTGCAATAGCAAATACTGTAATAAATTCAGTAACCTACCATCTGTTTGTGATTTACTGAGAAATATCGTACTGGCTCGTGGATGATCTGATGGGTTGAATTCCATGTTCAAATCTGGAAAAAAAAGAAAGAAAAACACAAAAACATTTATGATTTCCAATGGCATACACAGATTTTCTCATTCTTTTTAATAAGACCAAATTTACATACGTAGGCAGCTGTTGTAAAACAAAACACATCTTGAAGCCAACTTTTTAATCCTTCGTCACACAAGTGGTTCTTTTTGGCATGCAAATCATTTGCATCAACACAGCTTTGGGATTAGACTTCAATTCTAAGGGCTGCTTTTGGATTAAAAGAGACAAAGCAGCTTGAGAAGTCTGCACACAAGAAGTCGGGAATTATCCATTTACTGTCAGGTTCTTCCCACCATGCCCCAAAGCCATTGCTAAGCACAGGAACACAGCTTGTTATATATAATTATAGAAGAATTACGTATCACAAAACAAATATGCAACCCTCTGTAGATATACAGGTTTCTAAGATTAGATGTGATTAAAATAAATAGTTATTGCAGCTGAATGTTAAAAAAGTCCAGGCCACAGTGTTTCAAACGGTCAAGATTATAAAAACTTGGAACTTTCCTCATAGTTCACAAATGAACATACTCCTTGCTGTAACAACTTCCCAAAAAAAACCCCAAACCAACAAACCAGTTCTAAAAAACATTTACCACGTTAAAGATTCAAATCTATCACACTTTATAGAAACTTCTATGAATATTTTCCCTATTGAGGTCAAAATCATTGAATTTACTTGTTCCCAAATTCCACACCACTACCAGTTTGTCAAAACTTACATGCCTGCATCCACTTGAAAGCATGCTACTAAAAACAGCACATCATTTTCGCATTTTCTTGCTCTCCCAGTGTGGCTATCTCAACATTAGTTCTCTTACACTCTCTCTTGCATTTGATGCAAAATAAA